CCATGTGGGCTTAGAACCCAAAACTGAGATGACTTGGCCACTTTGTATTCTGGCCACATCCCAACTCCCTTTCCAGAAGGAACTCTGTTTTGTCCCTTTCCATTTGATGTCCGGAGACCTATCTGACCCCAGCTCCAGATCAAGGTTCTAGACCTACAAAGGGCATCTTTGTGCCTATATAGACCAAGCATGTGCTGCTTCAATAACCCATAATCAATATTAATGAGCACTCTATGAGAGTCCTGGGCTGTGCTGAGGAGCTGCCATAATCCAGTCCTATAAGCTGCTGCTGAGCAGGAAGCCTGTTCTGAGAGTGGGGCCAGTACTCTTTAGGACTAGAGATTAGTGACCAGCCTGGAGTTTCTTCACTCAGGGCGCCAAAGACTGTGTATTTTGTCCTGCCCACAAAGTACATAGATCCCTCCACATCACTGTGTGGATGGATCACTGATGTTAGCATTTATAGCAGTTGTGTGTATAACTCTTCCCTTAGCAAAACCATGAGAGCCACACACAGATGGCTGATAAGATGAGGTCTGCCCCCGGGAGTCTTCTGTCCAATAGGAAATTTAGTGGGCTTTCTTTTGGGCCACCAACCAGCTCCCAAATCATGACACAGAGACTTAGTATTAGTAATAAATGATCGGCCTTATCTTAGTCTTGTCCCATTAGCTCTTATAATTTAATCGAACCTGTTTCTCTTCATCTATGGTTTGCCTCAGTGCTTTTTACCTTTCTTCCATTCTGTATGCGCTACTCCATGGCTGGCTGACTGGCTGGTTGGCTGCCCCCAGGTATCTCCCTCATTTTCTCTCTTATTTGCTCGTCCCTTCTTTCTCAAGCCTAGATTCCTCTGCCTATTTAGTCTCTCTGCACATCAGCTCCACCTGTCTCTCTACTGCCTCCCTATTGGCTGCTCATCATTTTATTAGATCAATAAGGTGCCTTAGATAGGCAAGGCAGCATATCTTTACATAGTGGAACACAGCACGAAGAAATGGAACACATATTTACACAAATGTAACACATTTTTGCCTAGTTAGAGTAATATTCCACATCGTAAACAACTGTAACACATTTTACATAGTTAAAGTAATATTCTACAACAAGGATGGGCAGCCCTTGGACTCTACATCTGCTTCCCATCACCTAACTATCCTTCCCTGTGTCCTCGTGGATTGAATTATATCATGTTCTCCAACTATGCTCATAGATAGATTTCTGTTAGGTTAACATGATAGAAGACATCAGGAGGAGGGAGAGGAAGGGTGACTGGCAACCCTGGGAAGACAAGAGGTGGGACAGGAAGTTGAGGTCTACTGATGGTAGAAGCTCCCAGGTGTCAATAAAGCAGTTGGTAGTGGTCAGGTCTGGTAGACCTTATGGAGATGGCAGGACAGAAAGGGAGAGTTTTCCTGGCCCATGTTGTTCCCACGTTCTAAGCCTCCCCATTTTTTCTGATGGCAGTTCTTGCAGGGATCCCCAGCTCCACTTCTCTAGCCTTTATTACTCCTGATCATGTCCCTCATTACCCTTGAATTTTAACCTCAGCTCAATCACACCTTCCATGTCCTGGTAATTCCTAAGTACCTCACTACAAAGGACATGGTCTTGACCTTACCCAGCATTTGCAGATGAAGGCTGAAATTGAGGTATGTCTCATGTAGGTTTCTATTGATGTGGTAAAATACCATGTCCCAGAGCAACTTGGAGAGGCAAGGGTTTGTTACAATTTACAATTTGTAATCCATCACCCATGGAAGTCAGGGCATACAGAGGCCACTTAGGAGTCCTGCTTACCTGCTTGCTTCTTTTGGCTTGCTCATCCTGATTTCTTAAAGCACCAAGGGCCAAAGTCCAGTGGCGGCATTGTCCACAGTGAGTTGCACACTTCCACATTAAATACCAATTACAAAAATACACCACCACAGGTTTGTTGTGTGGGGCCAATCTTGTGGGGGCATTTTCTCAATTGAAGGAAAATACACCACCACTAACTCGTCCACAGGCTAATCTTGTGAAGCATTTTCTCAGTTGAAGTCCCCTCTTCCCAAATGACTCTAGCTTGTTTCAAGTTGCTATCAAATTAGACGGAACAAGATGCATCTAAATCTCCTGGGGAGTATATGATGGAATACATATGGATACAAATATCAATAACACCTGTGAGATCACCTGCATAGGGTGTAATAGAGATTGTTTCCCTATATGTGATTATTTTAGTCTTTTCAGACTCATTTATTTCATGTGTAGAAGTCTTTTTCCTACATGTATGTATGTGCCAACATGGTTGTTAGGTAGAGGATGAAGTCAGAAGAAAGCATCAGATTCCCCCTGGAACTGGAGTTACAGTCAGTTGGCAGCTGCTGTATGTGTACTGAGATTTCTTTTCTGAATAGCCAAACTGTTCAAGAGAGTGAGAGAGAATGGGGGTAGAGAGAGAGACAGAGATAGAGAAAGACAGAGAGAAAAACAGGGACAGAGACAGAGGGATAATTCATGAAATCAGAGATGAAATGGGGACATTACAACAGACAGGAACCAAATTCAGAGCTTCATTAAGCAGGAACATTTTGACACTTTGGACTCAAAGGGTTGGAAGGTCTACTTTCTGAGTGGCCTCTTCTGGGCCCCACAGCAGCTTTCTGGTCCATCACCTCTAAATAATAAAATAGGGTGTACTAGAGATCGTTTCTCCCCATGTGAGGTGGGTGCTATTTCTGGGGTGAGTTCCTGTGGGTGCTGCCTTTTCTCCTTCAGATACCCCACAGCATTGTCATCTCTGTAACCACACACTGCTGCCCAGGTGGTGTCTTTGGCACTCTAGTACATGCTTACCCTTGGACTTCAGAAAGCTGTTGGCATCTACCTAGCCAGGCTTCCTGTCTGAGTTCTCAGCTGTGACTGGTGGCATTAGAAGGGAGCAAAGAGAACCAGTGATCTGAGAAGTGATGTTCAGCTGGCACGGCCAGTCTCCAGCACCAAGAAATCATGTTGCCCTGTGGACAGACCGTTACACTTGATGTTTTACAGTCTCCCACAGGGAGAGCCTCAAGTGCCCCATGAGAGACAATATTCATTCTTTATGAGTGCTTCTTTACACTTTCCAAAACATCTTTGTTGATAGAATTACATGCCTGTGAATCACACTACATTAGCCTAAAGTTTGTTTCCAGAGAAGTTCTGTTCTTGAGGTGTGAAAGGTGAAGCCCCATCAAATAGAATGGTGTAAAGGTGACATGTTGAGCCAGCTTTGAGGGGACAGCTGGAAGAGGCCAGTCACTTCCCTGTTGTTCCCGAGAAGCTATTGAGTCTGACCCAACCACAGCCATGTTTGCTGTCACACTCTGGGGACAGACACAGCTCTGATTGCACTAGGATAAGCGACACTGCTCTGGAGCACCACAACTCTGTCATCACACATGGAGCCTAATTGACCAGCTACAGACCCAGTGCCCTTAAATCCAGCTCACCTCCATCCTACAGACAAGCCACCCTGTGACACAACCTCCCAAGCTGCCCTCTCCATTGAGGCTGCAATCCACAAGGAGTCTCACAGTTCCCCAAAGTCACTGTGGGTGGCTACTAAAGTGCGTTCCTCCTTATAACACACCCTGATCCAGGAAAGAGCTCCAGTGAGTTTCCACAGAAGAGAGCGCAGAATCCTAACCTGTCTGCTGGCTCCCATGGGAAATCTCTTCAATATATGTGACTCATGTCCCCGAATCCAGGTGGGGTGAAACATTTCCAAGGACCAAGCCACTACTCTTAATCTTCATTGAGGGGTGCTATGAAGGGTATCTATCCTGCCACTCTCTCCATTCCATGGTCTGTTTCCTTTCAATGGAGGCCAGCCTGGCTTCACAGTGTGGTCTAGTGTGCAGGGATGTTCAGAGTACCAGTCAAGGTCCACACTTATAGTCCCACTGCCCAAAGAAACCAAACACCAGTAATCTCACTCAAGAGGTAGGGTGTAAAGGGCATTTGATTCTGTGTGGCACAGCTTCTGAGTAGATGAGCCTCTTGGGGGAATCGAAGATCCTGGTTAGTGCTTTAATGTCAAGAATGGGCTTCCGGCCAGCAGAGGACTGTTCAGAGCTCATGAAGAGGCCTTTATTGGGGTGTTGTCCTCCAAATATAACACCCACCACTGTTGTCTCAATAATCCATTGCGATCAGGTCTGTCCAGGGACCCTCACATAGGAGGAGGTGGCAGCAGCAGACCCTCTCCTGAGGCTCCAGCCCCTCCGTCCTGCACATCCCTCACAGCTGCATGTGATTCTGTCCCCACTGTGGTCTCAGGAGGTGCTTTAGAATACACGCAGTGTGGAAGGCTAACGGAAGAGGAAACGCCATCCATGAAGCTATGGGGAAGTTGAGATCCACGTTAGAGACACCTTTTGGTGGAGTAGCTATTGTGGGCTCACCCCTGCTCCTATAAGGAACCCTTCATCCAAGCAGTGTAAAGGCAACACACTTATTAGTTCTCCAAGTGTGACTCTGGGGCAGTTCTACACTGGTCTGTCCTTGTGGAGTATCAAAGGTGAGTAGATGTGTGGTTTTGAGTCCTGAGAGAAAGTTCACACAAGGGGACCCATGGGAGGCTAGGGACACCCTACTGCGATCAGCACTAGGTCCTTTGTAACAGACATCTGGGGGACAGAATACACTTGGAAGGGAGGACACAGGCATGTCTGACTCCCAGATCCTCCACGAGCAGCTCTGTCCTGCAGCCCAGCCCATGGGCATGCCCACCCTGTTTCTCTGAGGTTCCCCCTCCTTTTCATCCTCCAGGGAGCACTCCACTGTGGCTGGCCATGGGCAGCTGGCACTGCACAAGGGGCTGGGGGCTGGATGCACTGACTTGGCACTGCACATATTTCAGGTCATGGCAGGTGGACCTTCAGATACCTTCTCCTTCCTGATGGTGAAGTTCATCACCTGATTAACACAAAGATGGAATCCGTTTAACTGTTCCTGACACACAGAGACTGCAGATTTATTGAAAGAAGAGGAAGGGTAATAAGCACTGTCTCCTCTTGGCATCAGAAGTTCAGCCTGCTGCTGCAGAAGCTGGTAGGATCCCAGCTCCTGGTTCCTGTGTGGTCTCCATGGCTCTTCCTTTATGCACTAAGGTTCTCTGGACAGCTCACAGGAATCTAGACACCCACAGAGAGAGAGGGGCTGGGAACAGTGTGTAACCACTGTCTTACAGGGAAGCTGTGAATAGGAGGGAAGGGGACACAGGAAAAAACTCATCTCATTACCATCATAAGATGGTTTGATGATGTCTGTTATGTTCAGTCCAATAAATGCTGTAAAGGTTTCAAACTGCCTCAGAAATCTTGGTTTTTTGACTCGACTCCGATCTGCAGGTCACATTAGGTGAGGGGATGATGAGACCACTAGGCTGTAGTCAGCATGGGAATGGAAAGAGGGGACTGGAAAGAACTCTCACTATAGACAGGTCACTAACAGGTCACTAACAGAGGTCACTGGCCCTAAGAGAATTCAAGCTTGAGACAGGGAATCTTCAGTCAATAGTCCTAAGCAGGAGGCCTGCCAGGTGAGATTAGTCAGCAGGGGATAGTGTTTGCACCTTGTTTGCAACAAGTACCACCTGAGCACACGGTCTCTCATCAAGGATTCTCTGAAAAAGACTCTTCCCTACCCAGCCCCAGTGGGCAGAAGACAGACGCAGAATTCCATGCACAGACACAACCTAAAATAGAGAAGACCTTCCATGGCCTCCTGCATCCACTCCTAGAGGAGATTGTCATGCTAGGTTGGCATGGGGTAGAAAGTAGAAGAGTGCCCATCAGTGACTGCAAACATTCCTGCCCTCATTATCCTCCCCACTCCTCCTACCAGAACCCCAGCTCCAAACATGGCCCTCAATAGCCCATCTCCTGATCCAAGGATACATATGACTAAAGGCTACCTGTATCCTTGGCCGGTTCAGGTCCCAGGGTGAATTCTGATGTAGCAGAGGGAAGTGGATTATAAACTAGGGATGCATAGTTCTGAGAAGCACCATCACCCTTGCAGTCCTTGGGGACAATGGGAAGGTGGCCCAGTGGCCAGTGGTGGGTATTTCAGCCTAGGTCTCTATGTCTGTGCTGAGACAACTTCCAGGACACTGTTAGGATCTCAGGATGCAGAGTCTCCAGGGGGCTGAGAGAAGTGGGGAGGGGAGGATGGCTGAGTGGGAATGTTGGATTAAGGCAAGGGAAGCCACACAGTGTCACCCATGCTAAGAAGCCTCATGGGGGCAGTACTAGAGGAGACAGCGCAGGTGAGAAGTGTGGGAGCAGGGCACAGCTTGGACACAGATCTCAGGAGTTGGTGCAGGAGCAGGTGGAGATCACATCATGCACTGGCACTGGATTTAGAGCCCTGTGTGCTCCTCGGGTCCAGTGGCGTCCAGAGATGTGAACTGGAGTCAGTGTGGGGCACTGCACCAGGAGAGTTGCCTTCCCCAGGGTGTGACTGGCACCCTGTATCGGTAAACACACGTTTGCCTATTTCCTGGAGTCTGTTTAATCTATCCTTTGAGTTTAAATTGTCTGAAAAAATGGCAGAGAGAGATTAGGAGTTTCTCCCTTCTCAATAATGGGCAGAACTGTATGTAGAACTTTTCTTCCCCTACTTGTCTCTGATTTACTTTGGTAGGGCGTGTATGCTGTGGACTTCAGGATCTCAGAACTGTCTGGTCAGAGTGGGCCATCGTATGTGTAAATGTGTAACAGGTACTGAACAGGGCTCTGGGCTTCACACTCTGCATGTCAGAGTAACAGCAGTGGCTGCCCAATATACTCAGCAGCAAAAGTGCATCAGATTCCTGCTCAGGGCAGGACCACAACAAGAGCTGACTGAGAGAGAAGGCTGGGGTGTAGAGGGTGGGAAGTGGACATGGACTTCAGCCCTCAGGAGTGATCTTGTGAGGGCCAAGGATGCAAGGGGCCAAGAAGAGCTTGCAAACTCTTCTCCCATAGGGTCAGAAATCTCAGGAATGAAGACTGTGTGTGTGTGTAGATTGCCAAGTGTGAACTAGGGCAAGTGGGGCAGTAAATAGTAACGCACTCTGTACCCAGTGCCCCAAAGTTCATGCCCAACTCCCACAAACTCAGAGCAGGACACATACCAACAAGCATCATCATAGTGTGGTTGAATTCTTGCAAACGGTCAAGGTACTGAATGACACTGACATCCTCTCTCTCCAATAAGTAAATCTGGAAGTAGTGCCTTGACCCTGAAGATGAAAACGAGCCATGTGCTCATCAGATTTCTCTCTGAAGTCTCCATTAGGGAGAATATCTATGAGCACTTACAGGCATAGTAGGAACCAGGACGTTCTTCATTATAATCCAAGACCTGCTTGAATACAATACATCCAATGGGGCTCCTGGAACACAAGAGGGAGACATGGTTCTTCTGCAGACATCTGTCCTCTCCATCCCTGCTCCACTCCATGCACTCAAACAGTGAGGGGAGCAGTGCCCATCCTCCTGACAGGTGAATGAGAAGCTGTATCCACAGCACCCATCTTGACATGGGCACTGTGTCCCTGACCTGCATGCTTCAAGAAGAGAAGAGCAGATACAGACTCAGAAGAGCTGATGACCAGCCCATGATCCAGGATCAGCACAGGCTGGCACCCTGCCAACCACAGGCTATTCCTCCCAAGGCCAGGCTCTACCCAGGGTTTCCACATGATTCTCCAGCGAAGCTTCTGCCCTTGATCCCCACTGCGGTCCACATTGACCATAGAACCCAGTGAAGTCCTCAAGGTCCCCAAGGCTCTGTCCCTTTACACAGATGAGCACAAAGCCCACACTGGCTTCTCCAGAAGCAACCAGAGTTATACTGGGATGCTCCTGGTGCCCCAGTGGTCATGGATTGACTGGATGAGGTCAGGGAACATGTGTGAGGTGGGGGTGAGGAGAGTATCCAATCAAGCAGCAGAGAGGGCTACCTGGGGGCAGGTACTCACGAGATGTTCATCCTGAACTCCAGCTGCCCGATGATGTTTCTGGCAAATGTGAAGGGTGGCAATGGATTGGCCTTTATGTTTTCAGGAATAGGCATATTTCCTACCCAGTAGTGTATGTACCACTTTCCTAAAATCTGGAGATGGAAATTATCTCTGAGTGAGGCTTCAGATCAGGGGAATTCAGGAAAAGGGGTTCCTGGCTGGACAGATGTAGAAGCAGAGGCAGGAGGGGTATTGGGTAGAGACTCAGTGCAGACTTCAGGGTCCTGAGAAACTGCAGGGTTAGAAGCCATCTCTGTGCCACAGGCAAATAAAGTCACACAGGCCTGAGGAGGAACCTCCCAAGACCCATATTTCCTGGGACAGGTTCTGACCAGGCTCCTTGCATAGGATCCACATAAGGAGCTGAGAAAAAATCATCCAGAGGAGCAAGAAAGTGGTCAAGTAGACAGAGCTCAGAGATGACTAATCATGGGTAGAGGGCACTGCCATGCAGTCACTATATACTGGACCATAGATGACCATGGCCACCCTGCTGGGGTGTGACCTGTCCCCAGGTTCCAATCCCTCCCTACTTCCCAGTCATGGCTGAATTGCTAATGTTCATCAGTGTTCTTCCACGTCTTATCCCTAGTTAGTGCTTGCTGTCCCTGTCAATACAGAGACACAACAGTTTCAGGGACCTTGAACATGTGACCCTCAAGCCGCCTAAAGGGACCTGCTGCCAATTGTCCTAGTTCCTAACATCCACACTTCATGGACCTGTGTGTCTTCCCTGCCTAGGGCCTCAGGGGCCATTGAAGACCTGGGATGGCTGATCCTTGCCTCTTTGTGAGGTGACCATGAGGACATATACCGGAGGTCCTGTGGAGAGGACAGAGAATAGAGCTGAGCTTCCAGTTCTATGAGGTCAAGAGCATGAGCAGCAGCTGCCCAGCTCCTTGAGTGGGAGAAGAGTGAGGCTGTGAGGCCAGGAAGGAAAGCTCAATGAGGTGAGTTGTCACCAGTGGGTGCCAAGGTGTTTAAACACCAGACTCACCCACAGAAACCGTTCTCCAGCTCAGCATATATTCCAACAGGAAGGCATCAAATATAAAGGGAACTTCATCCACCAGTGATGGGACCTGGAAGCATGGCTGATCATTTCCAGAGCCTCATGACTTTCATAAAATGCATCATAATTTGTACTAGTAAAGTAAGATTTTAAAAAGCTAACACATTGGAATAGGACAAAACAAACAGAAAGAAAACAGCTCAGGAGAAAGCACAAGAAACAGAGATCCACTCATTTGCATACACAGGAATTCCATAATAATGCTAAACTAGAAGCCAAAATATATACACCAAGGACCTGGAGGGTAGAAAGAGAGAAGAAAAAATATATGAATAAACATAAATTAAAATAAAAGATAAGAAATTTAAAAGAAATAAAAGGAAAGGAAAGATATCCTGACAATACTTTCTGAAACAAGGATGTCCAAAGTTGCTCTTGAGTCTGTCTTCTGCTGGGCATCTACTGCTGTGCATCCAGTCAATGCTCAAGAGTGGTCTGTTTCCCCAGTGAGACTCCCTTAAAGAAAACTAAATTTATGTATGCAAGCCTTTATCAACTGGAGATTGCTTCTGCATTAGGGATGGGGGCATACATCCACTTCTCCTTTCACCTCAAAAAAAAAAAAAGATTCTTTGAAGTCCATCCCTTCCACACTACCCCTCCCAGCACTGCTCAGCACTCTGCAAACAGTAGCAGTGCACTGTGTACATCATCCTGCATGCAGTTATATATAACATATGTAAAATCTTCCTTCCATTGCAAAATAGAAATTCTGAAATGACCAATTTTTATGGAACTTCTTGGGCACCGACAATCTAACAGCAGGGGACAACAAGTCCCAGTGTGGCAGAATAGTGACATCCATGTCTTCAACACATCCCTCAGCCTGTGAAGGCCCCCATCCTACAGGTATGGTATTCAGGAAGGCAGACCTTAGGGTATAACGTAGGGCATCCCATTGATTTCCACCAGGAGATTCCATCAACAGACCTGAGTCTAACATCCAGTCTAGGGTCATGACCATCCTTAGTCATCCCAAGGCTCTCACCTTGTCAGCAGGGGCAGAAATTATGACAGGCCATTCATCTGCTTGTACCAAAAAGGACAGGGTCAGAGTCACAGTCAGCAGGAGCAGCTGCATGGTGCCTCTGTGCTCCTGGCTCCCTGTAGCATGTATATCCTGCACTGGGTGACACTCCCTCTGCACAAGGCCCCCATTCATGGTATAGTCTGGTTGCACTGTTTTGTTTGGACCTCATGTGTACATGCTGCTAATTCCTGTAATTAGCCACCTGCCTTCATTTTCACTCATTCTCAGGAAGCCTTGTCAGGAGAGAGAATGTTATCAAAGTGGGAAGTGACACCTGAGAACCCAGAGCCAGGAGGATAACAAGCTTCTAGAAGACCCACCCTTCCCATGCCCAGGCCCCATTCCCACCTGAAACTGATCCCCTCATATCCACACGGCTCTCCTAGCTTCCAACTCAAAGGACAGCATCTGGCTCATCTCCATAAAATATACATATAATGACCCCAAGTTTGTCCCCACACTCTTGAGAAGTGAGTTATCTCTTCCTCCTGTACCCCGGCTCCTGTGTTGGCTTGCTTTCTGCATTCTATACTGGCTCTCAATATCTAGGCTGCTGCTCCACAGCCACCCAGCAATTGGTCCCTTAGAATGTTCCCCAAATCTAAATTTGCCTGTTCTCAGATCTGATCTGTTCCCTCTTTCCACAAAAGAGGTTTGGAGTCAGACCTGATGAAGCTGTGTGGGGCCCCCACCTCATTTGTCCTCTGTTCGATGCCACACCACAGATTAAATGCTCTATCTTGCTTCTATGCACATGTGTAGCTGTGTTTGTGTGTGCCTGTGTGTATTGAGTATGCACATGTGTGTCTGTGTAGTTGTGTGAGAAGGCACATTGACATTTGTGTCTGCATAGTCATGTGTAAAACTGACTCTGCATTTCAGTCTGTGCCTGTTCAAGTGAGTGTGAACTTTTGTGGCTGTGTATGTAATGATGTGTGTGCACCTTTCTGAGTGTACACAGCACAATACAGTGGTTCTCATGCATGTATATGTAAGGTTGTGTGTCTGTGTATGACCTATGCCTTTGAAGCTAGCCGGGAAGGGCAGTGGAGGCTGACGTCAGAGATGTGATGCTGGGATCTCAGGGGCTCCACCCAGCAGAGAGACAGTGGGAGAAAAGTCTGTGCCCCCGGGCTGCCCTCAGTGCCTTGTGCCCATTTGTTGTGAGCCTAGCCTTTAACGGCTGAGCCATCTCTCCAGCCTCCTTGTGCCCATTTGTGAGAGGAAAGAAATTAGCTCAGGACAACAGCATGGCAAGGATGGACAAGGATGCTGCCTGAGTCTGGATCTGACAATACCTGGGAAACTGACCTTGGCCAGGCTTGAGACCTTCGTCTCTAAAGCATCACACAGCTGAGGGACCCAGGAAGTCTGACATCTCCTGGGTGTGGCTGAAATAGTCTGCAAAGAAACTCATGAGTAAATGGAGTCACTGGGAGCACTGGGGAGTGATGGTCATGCCAAGGAGGAATTTCCCACTTACTGGCAAGCACAGTGTGGGATACAGGCAGAGGGATATCATCTCCAAAAATGGGTTGTGAGAAAGAAAGCTTGGGATGAGAGTTATACCTGATTTTGCAGAAATAGTATCCATGAGAAAATTTGAACATAATGCCTGTAGGAAGAGAAAGTTCCAGAAGCATGGTGCACATTTGTCTGGAGAGTAGATTCTCTTCCACTCAGAACACAGAACACAGAACTTCTTGAATTTCATTTAACCTCTAGACCAGGGTTTTCCCAAAAATGGTTTAAACATGGTCACATGGGCTAATTGCCTCCTGGATTGCAGGCTTCTGTTCAAGAAGACCCAGGAAATTCGATCAAGACCCCAGGGCCTCTCCAGCAGGCATCATCGCCCCAATCCCTAAAGGAGAAAGCCAGAATGAGAGGCAGCCCATTGCCCTGGAGTGAAATGCTGACATCAGAAATCTCCCACACTTTGTCCAGGAGCACTACCAACAAAGCCAGGAGGAATCCTGGTCTGTGTTCCTATTCTCCCTGCCTGCTTCCCCAACCCTCCTCCTCTAGGAAAATCCTCAAAGGACCCAGAGATACCTGACACCATGCACTATAGAGACACAAGGGACTGCTGAAATTCTTTATAGAAATGTGGGGTATGAGAGGATGACAGGGTTGCAGCCATCTTAGAGAAGGGTCAAACAGGGGACAGCAGGCCCTGGGAAACCCAGGAGGGAATGTACTGTGCTGTGGGATGTTCTGTATGTTGTAAATAAATAAAATGCTGAT